GGGGGAAGTGATTGGACTTCCCACAGCTCTGGACCTACCAAGAATTCTGAAGACCAATTGCCTCATACGATCTAGTTTCTTGGGAAGCCAGATCTGGTCACAGGATTAACATTCTTTTGCTTGCTGTTGAACTGAAGGACTTTTGCAGCAATGTTAAAGCATTTTGGGAGATTTGAGATTTTACATTCTTCAACGATTCCTCACCTGGTAATACTTGAGCTGATAAAAGTCATCCATAAGAGCTAATGTTATTCATCATACAACTATATATAAGACTGCCTTTAAGAATTAAATATAAGCACCTCTATTGATATCTGTTATAGAGTCCTAGAAGTTAGTTCTTTACCAAAGTGATCCGGATGGAAAGAAATGTCTTCTGGCTTAATGACCTATGGACCAACCAAGTATATTGTTAAAATATTCATTTTAAAGTATAAGATTAAGAAATTGAAAAACCTGCCAAAAAAACCCACAAAAACTCGACAATCTTAAATAACAGAAATAAGCCTTGCTTCCTCAAACAAACTATAAACTTAAAGCATACTTATTTAGGTGTATGGAGAGATCTGAACCAAATTGTAGTACAGCCAGCCTAAAACAGGAAGCAGATTGTTCCTATTCTTTTATTAGTGACAAAGAATTGCAGACGAGATGAAGTCTAAGGACAAACTTTGCTGAAGGGCCATTTCTGTTATCTGTGTGCTAGCCTACTGGATGAGGCCTTGGAACTGTAGCTTTGTAAACCTTTTTTGACTGTAGCCTATATTAAGAAACATTTTACATTTTACCCCTTTACACATGTATTCTATACTGAAACATTTCAGGAAAAAAACATGCAAAATGCATTCTGATATTTCCTATACAGTATTTTGTGGGTTTTTAAAAATTTTTTTAATGTTGAGAGAGAGAGAGACAGAGCAGGAGCGGAGAAGGGGCAGAGCAAGAGAGGGACACAGAACCCAAAGCAGCTCCAGGCTCCGAGCTGTCAGCACAGAGCCCAAAACGGGGCTCGAACTCACAAGCCATGAAATCATGACCTGAGCCGAAGTTGGATGCTCAACTGACTGAACCCCTTAATACATTTTTAACACTGGGTGCAAACTACTAAATTGATTTCACTTCCCACAATTAATTTGGTTAAATCTTCCAATATAAGAACTCAACTGAAAGCCTCATTCCCTGAGCCCCTTTCTGTTATTTCCCACATATAGACTGATCTGAGGTTAAATAAGCATTACTCAGAAAAGACAGACCACAGATGCTGGTCACTCCCTGCAGAAAGTTAGAGTAACAAGTTCTCCAGACTCAAAAAAAGACCATTAACAGGATGCATGGGTGGCTCAGTCAAGCATCTGACATGATCTCACAGTCTGAGTTTGAGCCCTGCATCAGGCTCTGTGCTGACAGCTCCAAGCCTGGAGCCTGCTTCTAAATCTGTGTCTCCCTCTCTGCCCCTCCCCCACTCATGCTCATTAGCTCACTCTCAAAAATAAACATTTAAAAAAAAGACCATTAACAAAGTGATGTTTTAAAAAAATGCGAAGTATACATGTTCAAAGATGAGACTAAATAAGCTTAGTAGAGCTTAAATGATTTAAAAAACTGGACAAATAAAAGCCTTATTATAAAGCAATATAAAATAAATATAAGGCATACAAAAAATAGGCTGGAGAAAATAAAAATGGGAAATAATTTTTAAAAGACATATAAAGGTAGTAAAACACTTGAAATCCTACATATGCATAATTCACATTCCTGATGAAGAAAATTGAGCAAATTTAAATATCCAGATACAAGAAAACTTTCTTGAAATAATGAACAATCTATTAAGAAATAGCCTGATGAAGGTAAGACACAAAGAATTACAAGGACATCTAAGCAGAGAAATCAAGTCCTGTATAATGAGGGGGAAAAAATCAAGCTGGTCTCAGATCTTAGAACAAACTTCACAAGGCAGTGAAGCAAAAGGCTCTAGGGGTAAAGTTGTGAAAGGAATTTTATACCCACCCAAAGTTGTCTTTAAAATGTAAAAAGAGGGTGGAGCGCCTGGATGGCTCAATCAGTTGAGCAATGGACTTGGCTAGGGTCATGATCTCGCAGTTCCAGTTTGTGGGGTTGACCCTGTGTCTGGCTCTGTGATGGCAGCTGGGAGCCTGGAGCCTGCTTTGGACCTCTCTCTCTGCCCCTCCCCCATGTGCTAGCGCTCTCTCAAAATAAAACAAAAAAAAAATTTTTTTTAACACAAAAGGAAAGGATGCCTGGGTGGCTCAGTTGGTTAAGCGTCTGACTTCAGCTCAGGTCATGATCTCATGTTTTTGAGTTCAAGTCCTGCTCTGTGCTGTCAGCACAGAGCCTGGAGCCTACTTTGGATTCTGTGTCTCCCTCTCTCTCTTCCCCTTCCGGACTCCTGCTCTGCCTCTCTCTCTCTCTCTCAAAAATAAACAGTAAAAAAAAATAAGAACAAAATGTAAAGGGAATATGCATTCTAATCACTTAGGAGAAAAATGCCTGACAATAAAACTCACCCAACAAGAAATTAATCAAATTCAGGATTTAGGAATAAAAAGCAGCAGTGAAAGGAATGGTAGTAAACATTTTAAAAACTAAATAAAAATGGGAAATAGTTTTAGGACTTGATGTGAACAAAATGTGTGGATTTTGTTTTTCATAATAGGAGTCCTACACTTCATTAAAACATACATGAAAACCAGGAAAAAGTAACTCCAGCCTATTTAATGTTTTCTATAATTGCCCTTAATTTTAAGAGGAGTCTTTTAGTGGGGCGCCTGCGTGGCTCAGTGGGTTGAACATCTAACTTTTGATTTTAGCTCAGGTCATCATCCCAGTGTTTGTGAGATCAAGCCCCGTGTCGGGCTCCACACTGAGCATGGAGCCTGCTTAATTAAGATTCTCTCTCTCCCTCTGCCCCTCTCCCCTGCTCATTCTCTAAAATTAAAAAAAATTTTAAGGAAATCTTTTAGAACTACCATAGAAAAAAATTTTTAAGTTGAGCAGTTCATTTCACTTTTTGTTAAATCCAAGTAAAATTAATTTGCTATATTTACTGAACATAGCACATGAGCCCACTTTCTAAAAACTCTTTGTATGTATGTTGTCTATGTTTAAGAGAGATAGTTGGGGGTTGCCTGGCTGGTTCAGACAGAAGAGCATATAGCTCTTGACTGGGGATATGAGTTTAAGCCCTACATTGAGTATAAAGATTACTTAAATAACTCTGCTTTGGGTCCTCTGTCCCCCCCCCCCCCCCGCCCTCCCCTGCTTTTGACACTCTCTGTCTCAAAAATAAACATTAAAAAATAGTATTAAAATAAACCTGAGGGGCGTGCCTGGGTGGCTCAGGCAGTTGAGCATCCAGCTTTGGCTCAGGTCATGATCTCATCATGAGTTCGAGCCCTGCGTCGAGTTCTGTACTGACAGCTCAGAGCCTGGAGCCTGCTTTGGATTCTGTGTCCCCCTCTCTCCGCCCCACCCCTGCTTGTGCTCTGTCTCTGTCTTTTAAAAATGAATAAACATTAAAAAAAATTTTTTTAATAAAAAAATAAAGTAAACCTGAGGTTTAAAAAGTATTTCTGATTGATGGATGATTTCTATACTTTGTTCCTTTATTTAATACTTTTTTTTAAATGAATACATTTAAATTATCCTTCACAAGGGAAAAAATTAGTTGTTCCGACTTTAAAGCTATTTTATAAGCTCACCAACACATTTGATGTATTTTTGGGGACCACAAAATGGTAACCACCTTCCTGGAGGCAGGTTGGCAATATATAGCAGAAATCCTAAAACTTTTACCTTTTTTACCTAATAATCCCATATACAAATATAAATATATATCTATATATATTCACCATGCTAGAATATATACAAAAATAGCTTTATCCCATCATTTTATATAACTTTTAATATATGAGGAAAAAACAGCAAAAATGTCCATCTGTAGGGCACTTAAAATAAATTATATGGTACAAAACTAATATTCATACTTTGAATAATCTTTAATGGCAATGGAAGATACTAATCTCTCCATGTCATTAAACATTATACAAAACATTTCAAAACAATATGGTCTTAAGTGTGGTGTGTGTGTGTACTCTGAATAAAGATTGATAATTTTGGCACTTCCAACTGCTCTACAATGAATTTGAATTCACAATCAAAAACTTTTAAGTTTACAACTTCTAAGAAAGTTTACAAACTTCTAAAACTGAGCTGCTGCTGGTATAAATTACAAACTTAGAGTATTATTACAGTTTTCCACTTGGAACAGTTTTGCCAGTTACTGAGCACTGGTAATTGCTGAAGGAGGGACAAGTGAGATACTGAAAATTACTATATAGAACACTGTCACAAAAGTAAAGCCTAAATTACTGGGCTTTATAAAACCCCCAAAATACGTTTTTCCAGGTGATATATACCTCTTTCCTTTAGAAAGTAAAGCTGAATTAGGGACAGTCTCTTATTGGAGATTTAGTAATCTCAATACCTAACAGGGTGCTCAAACTCACAACCCCAAGATCAAGAGCTGCATGCTCTTAAGACTGGGTGCCTCAGAGATTTTTTTTTTTAACGAAAGTTTCAAATAAATTCAAAAGAACAGTAAAATGAACACTTTACATACCTCATCATCTGTTCTCCAAGACTTGAAAAAAGATTAAATACATGAACGCTATTTAAAAAAAACCTGAATGCTGAGTGTCTAGGTGGCTCAGTCAATTAAGCATCATCTGACTTCGGCTCAGGTCATAATCTCACAGTTCATGAGTTTGAGCCTCACATTGGACTCTGCTGTCATCGCAGAGCCTACTTCAGATCCTCTGTCTCCCCCTCTCTCTGCTCCTCCCCCACTTGCTCTCACTCTCTCTTCCTCAAAACTAAAAACATTAAAAAAACAAAAACAAAAAACCACCAATGTTCCAAGTCATATAGGCATACCTCGTTTTACTGCACTTCACTTACTGCCCCTCAAAGATACTGAGGTTTTTTGTTTTGTTTTGTTTTGACCAATTGAGGATTTATGGCAACCCTGCATGGAGCAAGTCTATTGGTGCCTTTTTTTCTGATAGCATTTGATGACTTTGCGTCTCTATCACATTTTGGTAATTCTCACAATATTTCAAAGTTTTGTATTATTGTATTTATCACGGTGATCTGTGCCATGGTTTTGGGTGTCACAAACCATGCCCATATAAGATAGCAAACTTAATAAATGCGTATGTTCTGACTGCTCTACCAATCAGCCATTTCCTCATCTCTCTCTGTCCCCTTGGGCTTCCCTTTTCCCTGAGACATAATATTGAAATTAGGCTAATTTAGAACCCTACAGTGGCATCTACGTGTTCAAGTGAAAGGAAAAAATCAATCTATGTGGCAAAACTACATTTTTGTCTTATTTTAAGAAATTGTTACAGCCAACTCAACCTTCAGCAACAACCACCTGATCAGTCAGCACTCAAGTCAAGACCCTCCACCAGCAAAAAGATTATGACTCACTGAATTTCAGCTGATGATTAACATATTTTAGCAATAAAATTAAGGCATGTACATTTTCGACAATGCTACTGTACACTTAAATCAACTACAGGATAAGTGTAAACGTAACTTACATGCACTGGGAAATCAAAAAAGGCATTTGACTCACTTTAATGCGATACTCGCTTTATTGCAGTGATCTGGGACCTAATCTGCAACATCTCCGAGGTATGCCTATATTTTAACAAAAACATACACTGGGCCAGCTATCTCATTAACAGAACAAATGAGCAAACTCCACCATTTAGTAGGATTCTGAGAGATACTGAAGTTTTAATATGAAGAACTTACAGTAAATAGACCTGATCTTAACATTTAATAAATACCTTTTCAGGGCTGTAAATATGGCAGGAAAGCCCTCAACCTCCTGCAATAGATTTCAAGCATCTTCCAAGTTGGAAAATATGGCAAAAGCCCAGAGTCTCCTATTTAAGTAATGCATATCTGAGGAAGCAGAACAAAGATAATACACTGTCCTTAAAATACATTTGTATTTACTTATTCTGCAGATTTCCAAATAAATCTATAGGATCATTTAGTCCAAAATCCCTGTCAAATATGTAATTGGGAGGTTTAGACAAAATGACGTCAGCTCAATGGATAGTACCAAAAAGAGCTAAAATACTACTAACAACACAAGTTTAATTTCAACTATAATCAGTTACCACAACCATTATTGGTAAATACCATCCTGGCAAGTGTGCATTCCAGGTAGTAACAGAACTCAGAATGGATAGTCTGGCACATACTACTACCTCAGTAAGTAAGAAATCTCTTCCCTCCACTCAAATTGCCAGTATCAGTCTCAGTGTTTAAAAACTCTTCTTCAAAAGATCTGTTTCCATTCTCTTTCCAACATAGAAGTGTGCTACCTTGGAATTCACTTTATTGTTTTGCACCTCTGTTTTCTCAATGATGAACAGACATGAAGACAGTATATGTTTCTATCAACTTCATATGGGTGTTGTGAAGATCCAGTAAAATAAAGGACATTAAAAAAGATTCTTGGTTCTCTAAGTCTGTAATTTAGAATGCTCCATTCACTGAGAGTAAAACAAATCTCTAAATTGTTACATATCTCCATGATCTAAACAACCATATGAATTAACCAAATTTGACTCTTGTCAAAAAGATTTATTAACTTAAAATAGAATTACTTCAAATACAGACAAAAGCAACTTTCTGTTCAATTTTGAATATTTTCAACATACAAGAATGTAAAAGAAAAAATTCTGAATCTTCACGTTGTAGTTTTATTTTATTATTTTTTTTTTTTTTTTAGCTTTTAAAAAGTTTTTGGCACTACAAGGTTCTGTAAAGAATAGAAGTGACAAATTTAAAACACATGAAAGTTTTTCCTAATTCTTAAGAACAATATATATAAAGTCTGAAGCAACCAAAGTATGAATACAGCTAATAGAAAATAAAGAATGTAATTTTTTAAATTCTCTTTATACAATTCATCAAGATTAAACAAAACATAAAATTCCCTTAAAAATAGGGTAATAAAATAGATGAAATTTGTATCACTCAATTTGGTGATACTAGTAAAAACTATAGTTCATATTTATATACAAATAATACAGTCTTTAAAAACAGTCTTAGAATTTAAATAAGCTATCTAAACGTGTTAAAATTTTAAATCAGGACCTGATTTGTTTTGCTTTCCATTAAATGTCACTTTTTCTGCTGAATGTAACTGACATTGAGGTACGGATACCCTTGAGACAGCAGGATTGGCTGGTTGCTGTGCATCGGTAGACCAGCTGAAAGAAAATGGACTCGCATTACTCCGACACGTTTCCTCTTGGTGGGTGGGGACAACGCTCTCTACACCGACGGGTGGCACATCTGTCTGTTGGACACAACACAGACAGGAAACTGAAAGGCTTGTGCCTATATATCTGACAACCCTTAGAATTAATAACTTGTAGCTAGTTCTCTTTTTTTCTATTTATATAGTAAAGAGGAGATAAAGCATGTAAAAACATTTCGCAGGAGAAAGAAGAGGAGAGCAGGAAACATGGGTATGTGAAAGAAAAGAGAGATGAAGGGGAGGTACCAAAGGCAACAAATTTATCAGGGAAGAATTTCAGACTCCCCCCAACCATCCCACCAGCCCACCAAGCCCTTATATGATTAATAATAACTTTTTTCAACCTTAGTTCTTTACTCAGAAGATTAAGTCCACCACAGTCAATGTTCTGCCATTCTATAATATAGGGATGCCCCAGCAATACACGGATAGTTTACAAAGGCTTAAATGAATCAAGCCTGAAACTTGTACCAGGGTTTCCCCTTAAAGTTACCATTTAATTCAGTCAGCATTTCTTGAGTGCCTTTCTTTAATTTCTTGAACTCCTAGTTTAAGTGTAGTAAGTAACTGACTCTAGTTTTTTAATTCATAGGTTAACGAAGAGCTGAGGGCCAGACTCAGACATTCCCTATTTGAATTGAAATACCTTCGAGGCAAGTAGGCTAGATAAAATGCTACAAATTCTCCTTAGTTTGTAATATTCATTACTTAGATCAAACCTATTACTGGTATGTCAGCACTAACAGAATAAATGAATTCTAATGTCATTCAAGTTCAACTAAACAAATTTTGACTATGTCACTATTCAACTCAAAAACTTCTATTAAATCCACACTACTTACTAAACATAGTCCAAAAAGTTTTTCATAATATGGCCTCAGCCTACCTTCTCCAGCCTCATCATGTACACATCTTTCCCATCCACTTCATCCTCTAGTCCTATTATTTTCTCTTCTTTTTTCCTCACTATGCCAGGCAAAACTCCTCGACTTTACATATATATTCCCTCAGCTAAGAATACTCTTCCCCTATAATCTCTAACAAATCTCTAGGAAAAACAAATCCTGTATCTCTTTCACAGTCTAATTCAAATGTCAAAATCTTGTGTGATTTGATCCTTGGTGTCCATATCTCCTATAAACTCTGCTAGGATAACATTTAACTGACTCCTTCTAAGTTCCTATCCTTGTCTATTTTACATGTCTGGCTCTTCTAAGTGTAAAGGTTTTACTTAATTCTTGCCTGAACAAGCACCTAGCACAGTGTGACACACAGTATGCTCTCAATAAAATGTTTACTGAATGCATAAAATCTCACTCCTGGTTCCTTGCCTTCACAAAGCCACCTTTGTCCCAGAACAAAACCCACCCAGCCTCTTAATGAATTTGTAAACAACGGTACCTTGAGTATAGAACGGTTTGTTGGGCTGAAATCTGGCATTTCCCTGATGCATGAAGTTTTGATGCAAACCATAAGGCCACGAAGCTGGGACAAGAGGGAAATGGGGACGTGGTGCATGTTCCCAAGGAATTGGAGGATTTAGTCCTGGAAAGCCTGGCTCTGCATTTCAACAAGACAGGAAAGACATACTTAAAATATCAGTTTGTTCATTTAAATATTCCTTCATTCCACAAAGATTTATTGAGTACCTACCACTGGACAAGAACAATGCTAAATGCAGAGGATACCAATTTTTTTAAGAATCAAACACTGTGCTCCAATTATTCATAAAAGAGACATATAAAAAGGTAGAGATACAATAATAAGTAGTCATTGCTATAAGAGATTGGTGGAAGGTGCTCTAAAGAGGGAACTAGGGTGCCTGGGTGGCTCAGCTGGTTAAGTGACTGACTCTTGGTTTCAGCCTGGGTTTGGTTTGCGAGTTCAAGCCCTGCGTCGGGCTCTGTGCTGACAGTGTGGAGCCTGCTTGGGACTCTCTCTCTCCTCTCTCTCTGTCCCTCCCCTGCTTGCTTGGGCACTCTCTCTCTCTCAAAATAAATATTAAAAAAAAATAATAATAATGAAAAATAAAGAGGGGGCTAACCTATTTGGTTCAAGGCTAGAGAAGGTTTTCCTAAGATGATTGACTAAACTAAATTTTAAAGCACAAGGAATTGTTAGGCAAAACAGGGCAAAGAGGGCATTTTAAACAGAAGGAATAACAAGTACAATAGCCAGGAAACAGGACAGTACAGCAAGTTTGGGAAGCTGCAAAAACAATCAGCAGTACCACTAAGGAGTAAAAGGAGGCAATGAAAGAAAAAAAGGCTGGATGGATAAGGTAGGATTTACATTTTAAAGAACCTTAGTACATCATTAAGGAGCTTCCACTTTTTCCTAAAGACAATGCCACTATCCTAGAAACAACTGTATCATGGTTCAAAAGGCAATTCTATTAGAAACTGAAGCACTGCGGTGTAATGGTTGAGAACTTGGGCTTTAGAGCCAACCAGGTCAAAGTTCAAATCCCAGTTCCAAAAATTACTAAAGTTCAATTATGCACCTCTGGCTGTTGTGAGGATTAAATTAGATAACAAAAACAATGTGGCTTGCACAAGTTGTGGTATGTAAGTAGAGACTCAAAAAATAGGAGTGCTATCCATTCTATGGCAAACAACCAACCCCCACAATCTACTTCCCTTTTAGAAGTACATCTTTCAAAGTGCATCTTTTCAAATTACTCCTAAGTAATTACTCCTAAATCTTTTGCATCATTTCTGGTGGCTTTTCTCATCCAGGGTCACAATGTGGCAGGAAATAATCTGAAAGACACTCCCCTCATTCACTAAACTTCCTAGCAGACTCAAATTAAAAGGTACTGGATAGGGAGGAGTACACAGCCAGAAAACTAAAACCCATACAAGCCATACTCTTAACAAACTCAGTCTTCTCAGGAGGTAAGCAGAAAAACAAAGCAGCTGCTTTGCTGAAAGTTCATAAAACCAAGTTACAATTAAGAACTGAAGCTACAGGGTATATTTTTTGCTTTAAATGAGACTGGGTATATATATTAAGGTCTTGACCAACTGAGAAATGTGTTTTGACATCAAAGGGTATTTCTTAGGATATATTCCAATCTCCCTCGGCCATTTTTCATAACTAAATATTTTCATAATATATTCTCACCCAATCCTTCCATTTTCAACAAATTAGTAATTTTAGCTGTAATATTAACTAGGAGTTGTAAATCCATTCCACATATAACAATATAACATTTACTGAGTAATCATTATATAATAAAAATAATATATTATATGAATAATGTATCTACCATACATCCGGGCACTATATTGGACATGATGGAGACAATGATAGAGAAGAAACAATTCACAGCTTTAGAAGTTCAGCCTAATGGGTTATGCAAACAAGTAAACTGGCAATTTCATAAGACAAGTATAAAGATATAGATATTAAGGAAACATGGAAAAGAAAAAGGATACCTAGCACAATTGGAGGACAAAATCAACAAGAGGGGTTCCTGTTAGAAAGTGAGCTAAACTTAAAAATGGAAGATGAATGAGTCACCCAAGCTTTGGAGCAAAGCAAAAGGAGGTAAGAGTAAGAAGGAGAGATAGGGAGAGGATTTTTCCAGGCAGAAGGAACAACTTTAGTAAAACAATTAGGGGTAAGAGATAATACAGTATGTTCCTAGGATGTTAATTAATTAGTTCATTATGACTGACAGAGATCAACTAGTGGTGGTACTGGGAAGAATAAAACTGTAAAAACTGAGCCATTGTATCAAAGGGCAAGACACTGGGTCTGTGTTCATTATATAACCCAGTGACTATCATGGTACATGTCATAGCATATATACAATAAACATTTGTTGAATGACAGAAACAGAGATTACATTAGAATGAAGATGTATGGGGTGCCTAGGTGCTAGGTGGCTCAGTCCGTTAAGCATGTGACTCTTGATTTCAGCTTAGGTTATGATCTTGCAGCTTGTAGGTTTCCAGCACCACACTGGGCTATGTGCTGACAGTTCAGAGCCTGCTTGGGAGTCTTTTTCTCCCTCTCTCTCCCCCTCTCTGTGCCCCTCCCCATTTGCACTCATTCTCTCTCAAAATAAATTAAAAAAAAAAAAAAAAAAAAGAATGGTCATATATGCCACATATCCTTTGATCTTGGAAATCTGAATGAGTTCCCATACTTTGACATTTCTGCTCAGCAAAATACATTATATGTATTGTTCCAAAGAGAGCAGAGGTACTTCTTCCATCATGGTACTCTAAGCAATAGCATATTTTTGTTTTTTTGTTTGTTTGTTTTTTTAAATTTTTTTTTTCAACGTTTATTTATTTTTGGGACAGAGAGAGACAGAGCATGAACAGGGGAGGGGCAGAGAGAGAGGGAGACACAGAATCGGAAACAGGCTCCAGGCTCTGAGCCATCAGCCCAGAGCCCGACGCGGGGCTCGAACTCACGGACCGCGAGATCATGACCTGGCTGAAGTCGGGCGCTTAACTGACTGCGCCACCCAGCCGCCCCAGCAATAGCATATTTTTGTATAAAAAGTACTAAAATACTTGTGAAAATTGATAAAGGGAAAGAATCAAGCTTTTAGTCTTTTCCTATATTTCAGGATAATCAAGTAGTTAATAAGAAAAAGTTCGGGGCGCCTGGGTGGTGCAGTCGGTTAAGCGTCCGACTTCAGCCAGGTCACGATCTCGCTGTCCATGAGTTCGAGCCCCGCGTCGGGCTCTGGGCTGATGGCTCAGAGCCTGGAGCCTGTTTCCGATTCTGTGTCTCCCTCTCTCTCTGCCCCTCCCCCATTCATGCTCTGTCTCTCTCTGTCCCAAAAATAAATAAACGTTGAAAAAAAAAAAAATAAGAAAAAGTTCTTTATAGAAGAATCACAAGCAGTAAATAGAAAATCATCATTTTACAACCCCTAGTAAAATAGCAATTATCAGAAATAATTATCAGTAACAACTAAAACTATTATGTAAAAATTAATGGGACGCTTCAAAATGGATAGAACACACTGATATCACCTAACTCATTGATCAATCTTAGATCACTAAAAGAGGAACAGTGAGAGTAAGTTCTTTTTGAAGTGAGGGAGCAAGAAACATACAGGACCAATCAAGAGATAAATTCTTGCCAACAAAAATAACCTGAATCTAATCCAGCTTCTGGACCTAACTTCCAATTTATAGGAAATATGGGGACAGAGGTACATGTTAAATAATGCCACAAAGATACAATTCAGCCAACATCAGAATATAAGAAGTTCTACAGTTTCTTTAATAAACAGTTTATATGGGGGAAAAAATAGTGAAGAGAAAGTATTACATATTAAAGGAGACTTAAGAAATAAAATAAGCATACACTTATAATGTAAGGGCTTTGTTTGAATCCTGATTCAAATAAATCAACAATAACAGTAATTTTAGAAAAAGAATAAAAATGAACAGGTATTAGGTGATACGGGGTATGGTAATGGTCTTGTGATTTTTTTTTTTAAAGAGATACAAACAGGTTTATAAGGAAATTTGATCCAATGTCTGAGATTTGATTAAATACTAAAGCCAAAAGAATTTTTTAAATGAGGTAAAGGGGTCAAAGAATAGCAAATATTGGTAACTGTTAAAAGCTGGGTAACAGGGTGCTTGTCCTACTTTAAAACTCCCTCCTTCTGTGTACATTTCAAAAAAGTTTTTAAAATAAAAATATAATCAACTAAAACAATGAATATTAAACAAGATTTATGGTACATGTATTTTTAATTATGCAAATATTTAAAAAATGGATGGTAACACACCTAAATATTACTTGGCAATTATGTCTAGGAATTGAGATTATGGATTATCTTTTATTTTTCAAATGTCCTATAATGAAAATGTATTACTTACATATCAGAAAAAACTAGTAGTTTTTAATGCTACAAAGTGCTAGTAATAGCTTTTTAAAGAATTGCTCCTTACTTATTAGTAAGAATTGTTTCTTACTAGGGCAAAGAACAAAGTTTTGAAGAAAGAAATTGATATAAAACTTGGATCTACTATGATTAATTACAAGAGCATGATAGTAAGTTACTTAACCCTATAGTTTCCTAAATTATAAAATGAGTGCTAGTAATGCACCAAGCAGGATTGCAGTGAAACTTTAAAATAATCATAAAGTTGACTTTTAAAAACTGAGAACAAACTGAGGGTTGATGGGGGGGGGGTGGGAGGGAGGGTAGGTGATGGGTATTGAAGAGGGCATCTTTTGGGATGAGCACTGGGTGTTGTATGGAAACCAATTTGACAATAAATTTCATATATTAAAAATATATATATATAATAAAACAAAATAAAATAATCATAAAGTGACATTTATGTATATTACCTCATTTAATATTCACAACATCCCTGTGAGTTAGATGCTATTAATATCCTTATTTTACAGATGAAATCAATGCATAAAGAGATTAAGCAACTGCCTAATCCCACATAATAAATGGCAGAGCCAGGATTCACATCTAGGCAGTCTGAATCCATAGCCCATATACTGTATCTAATCCTATACTTGCCCCTCTGTAAATATTTCCTCACTTTTATTTCCCCCAGTTCAACCAATAAACCCAACCACCCAACCTTTCTACAGACATATACAAAAGAAGAAAAGGAAGGGTTACCCGAATTTCCCACTGTACCATTGTTCACCAGGGAATTTGGAGCCACAGTACGAGGCCAGTGTCCATCATGAGAGGAGTTAGGGATCGCCACAGGTCTGGCAGCAGGCTGTGCAAAGATGATGCTGGGATCGTTCAGGCCAATATTGCTGGGGGCACTGCCTGGTGCAGAGTGGATCACTGGGCCGTGAATAGGCCAGGACGGGGCAGGGATCTGGAGAGGGTGCATTGGCAACAGTCCCATATTGTGCATGGGAGAATACTGAGCTGGTGGTGACTGGGGAAAGTTATACATAGGCATCTGGACCTGATGTGGGGGCTGGGCTCCCTGCTGAGGTGGGCCAAGCTTGGGTTGGGATCCTGGCTGGGATGGAGACTGGGTAATGGCAGCTGACTGGGATGAGTTCTGTGGAAATGGTTGGGGCTGAGGAGAATAAGATGGTGAATCAGACTGCAAAGAGAAAAAGATAACATTTTAAAATTAATTTTAAAACATCTTACTATTATAAAAGCAGAGATAATCAAAATAAAAAATTATGGAGTTATTTCATTAGAACATTATAAACAGAACTCTATAATGTGTATAATAAACAATAATAGAGCCTCATTTTACATGAAAATAGAATTTTCTTCAAGATCCTCAAACTCTCTCTGACATATGTACTACCCTACAAACCCTTTCACTATCCAAAGAAAAAAGACCCCAGACGTCATTCCCATCATGCAGAACCCACATTTCCAACTGTAACTAGAAACTTATATCTAAATATCTCACAGCCACTTTGATTCAGTCCCTCAACAAGTGTTGATTACGTCTGGGCATTGTTTTAGGTGTTAAAAATACAACACTAACATATATGCCCTCATGGAACTTAAAGTCTATGGGGAAAAGGAAGAAGAGCACATGAAGATTACACAACAATCAAAATAAATTAAAATGATTACTATGATAAAGAATGTATAATGTATAGTGTATAAGGAAATCCCAAAGCAGGAACACCTAAAAGTACTTTGGGAAGAGAGAAAGATGAATGAAAGTGGAAATCAAGGAGAGCTTCCCAAAGGAAGCTGAGACTCAAGGGTAATAGAACTCAGTCTGATAAAAGAGAATAGGGATAAGGGGAAGGAAAGAGTGTTTTGAGCAGAGAAAACATGACTGAAGGTCTTTAGGCTCATGAACACCTGGCTTTTTTTTTTTTTTAATTTTTTTTTTCAACGTTTATTTTATTTTTGCGAGAGAGAGAGACAGAGCATGAACGGGGGAGGGGCAGAGAGAGAGGGAGACACAGAATCGGAAACAGGCTCCAGGCTCTGAGCCATTAGCCCAGAGCCTGACGCGGGGCTCGAACTCCCGGACCGCGAGATCGTGACCTGGCTGAAGTCGGACGCTTAACCGACTGCGCCACCCAGGCGCCCCAACCTGGCTTTTTTAAGTAATGGGATTGTGAAATAAGTTTAATATTACTGGAGTACAAAGGCAGGGGAACAGCAGATTTGAGGTTAAGAACCAATGAGGGGCAAGATAATGAAGGGTACTACAGCCCTTGTAGTTAAGACTTTATCCTGAGGGCACTGGAAAATGACCAAAGGGTTTTAAGTGGGTCAGGAACACCATCAATATGTGTTTTAGAAAAAATTATTCTGGCTTAACAGGAATGAAACAGAAAATATTAGGGGGGAAAAAACACTAATGAGACTGATTAAAAGGCTGCTACAATAGTCCTGAGATGATGGTAAGCTAGGCTACAAAATAGGGACAGGGAAGCAAATGGCTGTGAGCTCTTTTTTATAGGTAGAAACAACAGGATTTGGTGACTGATTTGGATGTGTGAATTGAGGGAGAGGAGTAGTTCTGGAAACCAGAGAATAGGATCATTCAATGAGATGGAGAACACAGGAGCAAGAAGAGGCCAGTCTAGGGATTTGGAGAAAAATGTTACATTCCAGACATTTTGAAGTTAAAGTGCTTTGTGAGACATCAGAACAGCAGTGTCCATTAGGCTCTTATCCAAATATCAGGTAACAAAAAAGTGAGTGTTGGAAGCAAAGGGTAGAGTAGAAGCAGCACAGGAAAGTGGTTAGGGCATAGGTTTTGAAGACAGAGCCTGAGGGTTCAAGTTCAATTTACAAGTGTGTTTTGACCTCAGGCAAAAAACTTAAATCTGGTTTTTTTACCTGTAATGTATAAATAATGAACTGAATCTACCTCATAAGTTTTTGTGTAGTTTAATTAAAATACATGTGGAAATATAAACACCAAATTAAGGATAGTAGATACATTTTAGTAGCTAGGAAGGGATGGTAGGAAGGTTTTAAGATCCAATACGAATGCATAGGGACTGTTGACTATGGGTAATTTTTTAATAAATCAAAGATAACAAAATGTTAAGACTTATTAAAGTCTGGTGGTACTACATGAATGTTTATTATTTTCTGTACTTTTCAAATATTTTACAGGAAGAAATAGAAAAAAGCATATATACAGTACATAGCACTCAACAACATTAGCTAATATTACCGCTGTTATGTAACATTTATGAAAATGTCAGACCCATAGTAGGTACGCAAATACTATAGGTGAGGATAGTGGGCTGCTTAATGTTCCCAATCTCTCCCTATATTGATCTTCATATACTCTTGGAATTTTTTTCTAGTGGGCGCCTGGGTGGCTCAGTTAAGCCTCCGACTCCCGGTTTCGGGTCAGGTCATGATCTCACCTTTTGTGAGTCTGAGCCTTGCATGAGGCTCTGCACTGTCTGCAGAGCCTGCTTGAGAATCAATCAATCTCTCTCTCTCTGCCCCTCTCCTGCTCATTCTATGTCTCTCTCAAAATAAATAAACCTTAAAAAAATTCTTAAAGATTTTTTTCTAAAACACAGATATCAGATTTAGCATGTTTAATAGTTAACAGCTTTGAAGCTACACAAACCTAGGTTTGAATCTTTTAGTTTCTCTTATTCTCAGCTTCCCAATTTGTAAAATTTGATCACACTAACACCTTCCACTTCACATGGCCCCCCAAAGGATTAAGTGTGACAAACCAAAACATAATGTCACATTTAGAGTAAGCAAACATTCGATCGGTATTGAATTAATTAATTTAAGAAGTGCAAGATGAATACAGATTTACATAAAGGTAAAAAGCTACTCAGCAAATATGAAACTTGTGAATCTGAACTCTAATTCAATATTCTGCTTTCACAGGATATATTTCACTAGGTATTCAAATTAGCTATGAGAAGACACATAAAAGCTTCAAGCAAGTGCAATACCATGCATGTACTGCCTTAACAGTATTAAACCCCAACACATCTCAATTTTTGGGTCTATTTTTATAAATGTTGCTGATATTTTTCCACTAGGCAAAGCCTAGAACCTCAAAGTCATTACCTTATTTTAATCTACCAACAAACATATTAGTAGTTGTTATCTTACTTTACAAATAAGAAGGCAGAGTCACTGAAGTTAAGTAGCTTGCCCATAGATACAAACCCAGATATACATCACTCCAAAAGTAATGCTCATTCCACCTCAGGTGACTAGCAAGAATACCACTACAAAGCACCAAGTAATCTGGATGATTGTATTTGAAGTCTGAAAGATCAACCCTATCACCCATCAAAGACAGTACTATCTTCCTGCCAAGACTAATCCATTTGCAGGTTCAGTACTTACACATTCTGAGGACTGTCTAGTCCTTACGGACTGATCACCCTGTTGCTGGGCTGAACCAGCCACTTGCTGGGCATTTACGAGGTTGCGGACCAACTGGGCTGCTAAGAGAAGACATCAGAAAGAAAATCAACAGATAATGAAAACAGCAGAGAAATGACAATCAATAAACTCCCTTTCTCTGTTAAAGAGTCTCAAATCTTAGATTTGTACTTTTAAACTATGATTATGCATGTGAAGGACTTGTAACAACATTTTTGTTAAAGTCATTTTTCAATCTTGTAAATCACTAAAAAAATATGCTGTGGAGGACGCCTGGGTGGCTCAGCTGATTAAGCTTCCGACTCTTGATTTCGGTTCAGGTCATGATGAGGTTCATGAGTTCGAGTCCCGCATCAGGCTCCGTGCTGACAGCACAGAGCCTACTTGGGATTCTTTATCTCCCTCTCTGTCCCTCTCCCAAGTGTACACGTGTGCATGCGCATGCACACACTCTTCTGTCTCAAAAATAAATAAAAAAAAAAACTGGGAATAGAAAGGACAAAAAGACAAATACTGCTTTTCTTTCTTTTTTTTTTTTTTTAATTTTTTTTTTTTCAACGTTTATTTATTTTTGGGACAGGGAGAGACAGAGCATGAACGGGGGAGGGTCAGAGAGAAAGGGAGACAGAGAATCAGAAACAGGCTCCAGGCTCTGAGCCATCAGCCCAGAGCCTGACGCGGGGCTCGAACTCACGGACCCCAAGATCGTGACCTGGCTGAAGTCGGACGCTTAACCGACTGCGCCACCCAGGCGCCCCGAATACTGCTTTTCTAAAGGAGACAATATATTTCAGAAAATACCTTCTGCAGGGCGCCTGGGTGGCTCAGTCAGTTAAGCAACCAACTCTTGCTTTCAGCTCAGATCATGATCTCATGTTGTGAGAGCAAACCCTGAGTCTGTCTCCACCCTGGGCATGGAGCCTGCTTAAGATATTCTCTCTTCCTCTCCCTGCTCGTGCACACATATACTATCTCTCTTTCAAAACAATAAATACATTAAAAATGTTATCAACACAAATGACCTTATTTCTACCAGAAACTATTTTTGGCTTGTTCTATTTACCAGCCACACTGCTATTCCTCTGACGGGCCAGCTTGACCTCTGGGCACTCCCTTCGTACATGTCCAGCATCTCCACATATGAAGCATCTGAGGTCTCTGGGGTCTCTAAACTCTCGAGTGTCATGGAGGTCTCGGGGATCAAGAAGGTCTCGGGAGTCTTTCTCCTCTTCATTCCCATCCTTCTCTTCTTCACTGTCTTTCTTCTTTAGTCTAAACAGTAAACTGCTGATACCAATAATGTGGGGCTAGGGACTTGTAAACTGAGTGAATCACAGAACAAACTAAACTATACAAGAGTCTCACAATAAAGGGATTAACATGCTCATGGTTTCATGCATCTTTTTTAAGGCAAAAGAACTCATATTTAAAGCACATCTACTCATATGGCAGCAACTGGGTATTCTAGTAGTTTTATAATACATTATCAAATTAGAAAAAATTTTTAGTATTGAATTTTAATCTTATAACAATCAAACAGAGGCTGGTATTTATTAACTCCATTTTACAGAGTAAGAAGTAGATGCTTAGAGAAAGCATCTTCTCATTTAACAATCAGTAAATAGCACTGATGCAACCTAGGAGTTCATTCTGTCTGACAAGTTCTAAGATCTTTATATTAGGCAGGACTTGATTCCTACAGAAGGGATTTTCTTGGCCTATTAAATACAGGAAAGTATATTTCATAAATATATCCTCAGGGGGTAGAGAGAATAAATATTCCTCAAAATATGTATTATATAGGTATACCTCACAGTAGATACCTCAAAGATTTAGTTAATTATATATTATAATTATTGGTTTGCATTACTGTGAGGTGAGAACCCCATGTCTCTTTTTTTTTCTTGACTCCTAGCACAGTTTCCAATAAAGAAGGTATCAATAAATCCTTCAATTTAAAAAAAAAGAAACACAAAGCCACAATGAATTAATGAATAAATGAACAAACGAGTATTTTAAGATACCACTGTACCACAAATAAATCTCACTCTATTAACAAAATTCCACTCCAATATACATTTACCCAACGTCCAATTTAAGCCCTGAACTTTCTCACTTAAACATATATGAACACAGTTATAGCTACAACTGGCCTCACATTTATTTTCCCTGTAATGTCAATATATAATCATTTTGCCAACCTTCTCCTTTTAGGGCAGTCTTTCATGTAGTGGCCTATTTTTCCACACACACGACAGCATCGATCATTGGGAGCCAGTTCTCCATCTGTTAATACTCTGGAATCAAAGAAGTACTCCTAGGGAGAAAATAAAAGTTTTCTAGAAAAAAACTATGAATTTTGGAATCCAAATGGAAATAAGACCAAGATGTAAAAGTGGTTTTAAAAAAAGGGAATAGCCACTTGGGTGGCTCAGTCAGTAAAGCATCCGACTCTTGATCTTGGGTCAGGTCATGATCTCATGGTCGTGAGATCAAGCCCTGTATCAGGCTCTATACTGACAGGGCTTGGGATTCTCTCTAGTTCTCTGCCTCTCCCCTACACACACACACTCTCTCTCTCTCTCTCTCTCACTCTCTCTCTCTCTCTCTCAAAATAAATAAACTTTAAAAAAGGAAATAAATATCAACAAATATTTCACGATAACTAAAATCATGATACGAAAATAAGATTAAAAATTATCATCAATATCACAGCTGCAAACAGTACTAATCACTTTATATCCACATTATTTCCTCATTCATTTGTGGCATCTTTCCATAATATTTTTTTTTTATTAAAAAAAATTTTTTTTTTCGTTTATTTATTTTTGGGACAGAGAGAGACAGAGCATGAACGGGGGAGGGGCAGAGAGAGAGTGAGACACAGAATCGGAAACAGGCTCCAGGCTCTGAGCCATCAGCCCAGAGCCTGACGTGGGGCTCGAACCCACGGACCGTGAGATCGTGACCTGGCTGAAGTCAGACGCTTAACCGACTGTGCCACCCAGGCGCCCCTTTCCATAATATTTCAATAAAGTAGATAGTATTTTCCAAATTTATTTTTGAGAGAGCACAAGTGGAGGAAGGGCAGAGAGAGGGACAGAGGATCTGAAGCGGGATCTGCACTGACAGACTGACAGCAGTGAGCCTGACGTGGTGCTTGAACTCATGAACTGTGCGGGATGATGACCTGAACCAAAGTCAGGAGTTCAACTGACTAAGCCACCCAGGTGTCCCTAAAATAGATACTATTTTAATCCTCATTTTATAGATGAGGAAATGGAGGCTCAGAGAGTTCAAGTCATTTGCCCAAAGTAAAAAAAGCTGGTAAGTAAGCAGGATTTAAAGCTAAGTCTGTCTGACTACAAATCTCATATTTTCTGCCTTACCAGGCTACTTCTAGAAAAAAAAAACTATGCTCTTTACAAAAAGCTCTATGTAAATAAAGCAATCCTCTGGTTTATTTAAAATATGATTGGATTTTCTTATAACATCTCAAGAACATGTAACATTTATTATGCAAGCAGGGTATACCTAAAGAGAAGGTAGAGAACCAATACGAAGCAAGTCATTTTCCCAAATCATTTTTCCTTCATCCTAGCACCTGGCTTATTCTAAGCTTTAGCTCAGTTTTGTTTTGCAATATCACAAAGACTAATATGTCCTAACAGTACCCACATCTCTGGAAGGCAAGAGAATATGTCCATACAGCAATCTTCAAACCTATCTAAAGTCAGATATAAAAGAGACACACTTACTAGGATGGCTATCATAAAAAGAAAATGGATGTGGATGAAATGGAACCCACATATATTGCTAGTGGGAATATAAAATAACACAGCTACTTTAAAAAAGTTTGGCAGCAGGGCGCCTGGGTAGTGCTCCGTCAGTTGAGCGTCCGACTTTGGCTCAGGTCATGACCTCATGGTTCACGAGTTCGAGCCCCGCGTCGGGCTCTGTGCTGACAGCTCACAGCCCGCAGCCTTCTTCAGATTCTGTGTCTCCCTCTCTCTCTGACCCTCCCCTGCTCATACTCTGTCTCTCTCTTTCAAAAATAAATAAAACATTAAAAAAAAAAAGTTTTGCAGCACCTCAGGAAGTTAAAAATAAATTTATCAAAATGACCCAGCAATTCTGTTAGATATATAACCAAAAGAAAACATACATCCGCATGAAAATTTGTGCACAAATATTCACAGCATTACTCATAATATCCAAGAAGTAGAAACAACTCAAATGTCCAACACAGGTGATGAACAAATAAAATCTGATATATCCATATAATGGAATACCATTCAACCATAAAAAGGAATGAAGTACTGATACATGAACAAACCCTGAGAACATTAGCCCAAATGAAAGAAGCCAGTCACAAAAGGCTCCACATATGATTCCATTCATACAAAATGTCCACACAGTCAAATCTACAGAGACAAAAAAACAGATTGATGGTTTTGAGGGGTAGGAGTAAAAACAGGAGTGGGGATAGGGGTTTCCTTGAGAGAAAAACAAAATGTTCTAAATTGGATTGGGTGAAGGCTGCACAATCCTGTGAATAAACTATAAACCAGTGAATTAACTGTTCACTGTATATCAGTGAATTATAGAGTATATGAATTATATCAATAAAGCTGCATTTTAAAAAACAGATAAAAGAATTCTTCACAGTTATTATTGATGAAACCAATGTCCCTAATTAAAATCTTCACCATCATATTTTCTTCCAAGACAAAATGAAAGCCTATGTCAGTTCACCCAGTTGCTTAATGCAGAAACCTAGGAATCATCCTGAACTTGGTCTCCTTCACCCATCACCTTTAATTAATCACCAGTTGTAACCACTTTATTCTTGAATCTCTAATCCACGTTGCTCCATTCCCCCATCCCAGTTAAGGTGGCTTACACCTGAGGGTCAGCAAACTTTTCCTGTACCAGCTAGTAAATATTTTAGGTGTTGTAACAAAATTGAAGGTATTATGTACCTTCTCTCTTAACAAGAGAGAAAGCAAATTTCCACTAAATTTTCATTGAAGAATTTCAAAATATACTACTACTAATAATGGAGTTTTTTTGGTTTTTTTGTAATAGAAGTTTACTAATTGAAGAAAGTAATTCTTTCTGGGGGAGACATTTTGCCTGAGGTTCAAAATTAGTGTTCCCTATCATTAAAATCAATAGTAAATGCTCATCTCTTAATGCTAATCTGTAATTATGTTTTATGTATTTCATCTTTGAAAATGTTTTTCACAGATGAAGAGACTAAAGATTCAAGGTAAAGGGACTAACAAACGGAACTAGAATGCAAATGAAGGACTAGTCTCTGATAAAGAAAACGTATCTGTGGGGCACCTGGATGGCTCAGTCAGTTGAATGTCCGACTTCAGCTCAGGTCATGATCTCCTGGTTGGTTGAGTTCAAGCCCCATATAGGGCTTGCTGCTATCATAACAGAGCCCCTCTGTTCCCCTCTCTCTCTGCCCCTCCCCTGTTTGTGCTCTCTCTCTCTCTCAAAAATAAATGAACATTAAAAAAAAAATGTATCTGCAGATACAGGCAGATTTATAGATTGACAGAAACTTGAAGGAATATCGGTCTGATACTATCTTTGTCTCTGAGGGAAAACTTCTAAGCATAAGAAGGACAGAGGTGAAAGGGTGGACAAAATACAACAGGTATTGAATTTTGAGTAAAATAAGACCTGAATTAGTTTTTATCAACTAGGAGATATAGATAACTAAAGAAATGTAATAAGAGGAGCACCTGGGTGGCTCAGTTAAGTGTCTAACTCTTGGTTTCGGATCAGTTCATGATCTCATGTAATGGGATCGAGCCCCGCATCAGGCTCTGCACTACCATTGCAGAGCCTGCTTGGGATTATCCATCCCTCTCTCTCTGCCCCTCCCTCTGTCTCAAAATAAATAAATACACTTAAAAAAAAATGTAGGGGCGCCTGGATGGTTCAGTTGGTTAAATGTCCAACTTTGGCTCAGGTCATGATCTTGCAGTCTGTGAGTTCAAAGCTGTGCATCGGGCTCTGTGCTAACAACTCAGAGCCTAGAGCCTGCCTTGGATTCTGTGTTTCCCTCTCTCTCTGTCCCTTCCCTGCTCATGCTCTGTCACTCTCTCTCTCTCAAAAATAAATAAACATTAAAAAAAAATTTTTTTAATGTAGTAAGAATGTCACATGGTACCGAAAGTCTAATTTAGGCCAGTAAACATTAATTTATAGTTGTACTATATAAATAAAACCACCTAGCTTTATGACTTTTTTCCATAGTGCTTAGCTGCCCAAGCACAGACAGATGGTGGATGAGTGAATTCATGTAAGGCTGAACACATAAGGGTGCAAAAGAAAGGAAGGCCTGGGTAGCTCAGTCAGTTGAGCATTCAACTCTTGCTTTTGGCTCAGGTCATGATTCCAGGTTTGGGACTGAGCCCCATGTCAGGCTCTTCCCTGAGCATGGAGCCTGCTTGAGATTCTCTCTCTCC